ACTTCAATAAATCATCCAATTTTTCTCAAACTGTAATCATGTGTTTTGCTGTACATGTACATCACTTTACCAATTTTCGTCCTATTTGGATAACTCCTTCTTGGTGCCCCCCCTTTTTTTGGGGGGGTCTAAGAGTGTATTTTTATTTTTCTTTCTTTTATATGATGATGTAAAGCTCTTTTTTTAAAATTTATTTGTTTGTCAAATGCTAGTTACATTGGCCGTTAGGTCATTTAATTCCTTTCTCCAATAGCGCCGAAATCTACAAGAAAAATTTGTTGGTGCTTCACATTCGTCCAAATGTTCCGCCGTCATTGGCCGCCCACTATTACATAAAACACACAACGGCTGATGTAAAGATCTTTGCGAAGCTTTATTTAAATGGAATGAGGTTTTTTTTCCCTCTTTACAAGAATTGTCAATAAATTTTAATAGATGAAATTAGAGAACGGTAACTCTTCATTAAAGTAAATTATAAGTTATGAAGCATTTGGGATAAGATTTAATGAATTTTGTTGTTTATTTGAAATATTAGTTAGCTTGTAACAGAACTACTTAAATGAAGATTGTTGTTAATAATAAAAAAACTTCCAAATGTCCTATCTGTAAAGATGTGTATTTCTAAAGGGTTTTGCATATGTATATTTGTGTGTGTTAAAACACCTTATGGAGACCACTGCCTATAGATGAACTCTTTTGAAAGTAACCATTGTTTATGAGAACATAATTAAACAGTGCTACTCATTATCACCAGTAGTCATGTTCTCAAAGGCTTCTTTGAAACTATGAGTGGTCTCTTAGCTTCCTGTTTGCATAATATACACAGCCATCAAAATTAAAGGATAATGTCAGAAATAGAACATATTTGAAATTAATGAAAATTTATTAGTGGAAATTCATACAGAAGCATTAGTTAACATGATTTACGATGTTTGGCAATTGATTATTCGCAAAATATTGGAATTAAAATTAAATTTATGGAAATTGTAAAAATTTAGCCACGTCTTGTAGAAAAAATGTTTCTTTATATGGTGTATGGTCACCTCCAACATGCACCTCCGACTAACATCTTGATTACATATACTTTTCCAAAATGTTGATCAAGTCTTGTGGAATTGCATGCCACACTTCCTTCCAAACTCTTAATATGACACTTTGAGGAATATTAAAATTTTGGGAATTTGGAGAATCTCATGGGCTGGAGTGTTATAAATCAGATTAATATAATAAGCAATTCACAAAAAATTGGAAACTATTATCAGTGAAGAAGTAAATAGTGATGAAGAAAAAGTTTTGTGAAAAGTCTATGTAATTTGATGGTTTAGAACATTCATATGTAATATTTCGTAATGCTGTTATGATAACTTTTCAAAAATGTTATCCAGTTTTGTCTGAAAATTTGCCTCCATTAGTCAGAAGTTATCATTGTCATTTTTTCTGGACTATTCATAGGTATTTAGCAGCTAATTTTAACCAGAATTATTCTTTTGAAAGTACAGAATCAATTATTTTGTTTAAACAGTCTGCAATTTAAAGTGATTGGCCCCTTTTTTTGTGTGTGTATAATTTTGTTAAGATATGTAATTTTCCTTGTTGATACAACTTTCAAAGGAAATTTTTACTGTAGTCTCACACTAGCTATTGTTTATAGAGAAAAGGTAACAAAAATCATGTTTGTCTGTGAGCCATTGCACACGTGGACAAAGTTATACACTGCGTGAGTGAAAGTGCAGCACCATGAACATATGTTCAAAAATATGCAAATTTGCAGTTACGCACTGTGCAACAAATTAAGCAAAATGGCATTGCATTCTTGGTGCAGGGGAAGTGAGAAGTAAGGGTAGGGATCTACAGAATTGATAGTAGTTCCAATACTTTATCAGGCAGAGTAATCGTTGTTAATTTATTTATTTATTTATTTTTCTATTGCAGAGGAAGTATTTGTGCAAAGAATGCCAGGATGCTGACAACCGAGGCATTTCCAGTAGATAGATGAGTACGGCAAGGGTATGGTGATTTGATGATTGGACTGATACGAGAGCAGGTTGGTGTCTGCACTGAATCACAGCAGGCATGCATCTATAGTACACTGGCTGTGACAAAGATGGTTGGAAGAAGGGAATGTAGCACATTTCAGGTGTAGCAGTACTGCCAGAATAACTTAGACATGTGTGAACCTACACATCGTCAGGCATGCAGTATTGATCCCACAGGCCACTTCCATTGATATTTTGTGGCAGGTTCAGGACACCCTTGATGCACTCATATTGACCAGGACCATTATTTGCCTACGCTCATAGCGTCCGTTAATAGCGCCTTCATTTGCAGTGCTGTCGGGATAGAGCCCCATGGACTCCAGAGTGGCTTAATGTGGCGTTTTTTCTGACATCGCACGCTTTTGTTAAAGCAATAATTGCTGTGTACTAGTTTGGCCATGACGTTGTGAGATATCCTGTCCAACCATAACTAAAATGCTGCCGTGCATAATAATGTGCTGTCGTGGGTTGTGAGGTGCTATTGCCCGTGATAGCAGATTATCACCAGTCTCTATTTTTAGCGCTATGTAACACTACCTTTCTTTCAGGATGTGCCGAATGCCATTTACTAGCATATATAACACCAGACCACACATGGCATGCGGTCTGCCAAGGTTTCCCTGGCTACTTGTCTCCCCAGATTTTTTGCCCATCAAACATGTGTGGGACATGACTGGACACCACATTCATGCATTGCCACCATCCTGTTCAAAAGATAAACTGGGACAAATAATTAACGGTGAATGGATTGCAGATTAGATTCTCTCAGGACAATCCATGCACTCTTTGTATCTGTTCCTAGACATGTTGCTCCCTGTTTGGCCACCAACATTTGTCCTACAACTTTCTGGGCATACTGTATAATCGCTGCTTATATCATATTGTAATATAATCATCACTTATTGTTCATCACGGTGTATCCATACATCTTGTCTGTGAGAGCTGGAGTCCCATGTAATGATATTAGGTATGGATTAAATTTTCAATGAAGTGAACTGCCAACTTCTGTGTTTAAGTCTAATGATCATGTTCCTAAGCTCATCATACCAGTTCCCTCCAATACACAGATTTAATGGAAGGAAAATTATACATACAAAGTCTGTAATCCGAACATCCATTGTCCGGAATGATCTATAATCCAGAAAAACCCCTAATCCGAAATCGCCGAAGCCCCGACGAGTCCAGATTACGGACTTTGTACTGTACTTCAGTTTTCATAAAACCTGTTCTCTGAAGCTATCTAAATGATTACCAGCAGAAACAATTGAGATGGCTATGTTGTGGAGTTTTGTATTAGAGAAAAGAAGACAGTTTTAGAATCTGTTTTCAGCTTATATAAATTCGTTGAAATTCTTAGGGAATTATTTTATACATGTTTGAATGAATATGCATTTTATTTAGGTAAGAATCGTTAATGTTTAAGTATATTTATTTATATTATGTTTATTTTATATTTCAAATTTACTTATTTCTAGTTGGTTTTGGGGTCCTTGTATAACTTTGCAAGATTGTCTTTCTGCCTTCTTCTCAGCTGATGAATTGAAAGGAGATAATATGTACAGCTGTGACAGATGCAAAAAACTAAGGAATGGTGTCAAGTTTTCAAAAGTTATTCAGTTACCAGAGGTTTGTTCCTAAAGGAGTTTTACAGTATTATTATTATTTTAATTTTGAAATATGTAGCAGTAAAGTCTCAGTAGTAAAATAATTGTGGTGTTATAGAGACAGAATTTAATCTAATAGGTAGCTTTAAGCCCCATTTCCATTAGTGTGTTGCTAACACGTAGCGTCATTGGGAGGAACGCATCCGCAGATGAACGGCTGTTTACACTATTGTGTCAGATTTACGCATACAGAAGTTCAGTGGGTAATTGCATTTATTGCCACCAGATGTCTCTGTATTTAACTTACGGGATTCGGACACTTGCGATAAATTCGATGCTAGTGTAAAATTTTATTTCTGCTTATGAACTGAGAAAGCACGTTAGCAATTTTCAGATACGTAAGGTAATAATGTATATTATGAACATTTCTAATTGCATAGAAGCTGAACAAATTTTTAAAAATTTCTTTGCATTTCTAGAAGCCTTAAATATTAACGAAATAAGATATAAATAAAGCTAAAATGTACTGTTACTGGAAAACAAATAAAGTTAAACACATTTAAAAATAGCTGATACTTTAAAAATACAGAGCAACTGTAAAAAAAGGTTCACAATATTTACACAAAATCTACCATGCTTGCATACGGCTGACTACCACGTAAGACTGCATATTTTTAAAATATGCCAATTTCAGGAGAAAACAGATAGCATATAAAATTTTAGTATAATTTCTTCAGTGTCATAGCTGGATAATTTATTAGAAATCTCATTTGTTTTATAATGCACTATATGCAGTTATATTATATGCATAATCCATAAAATATTATTTTTAATTTATAAATTAGTCTCAGCACATGTATATACTTTCACATAAAAGTGAAACAATATATATATGTGTGTGTGTCTACAGGGACTATGCTTTAAATTCATATTATATTATAACTTTCAAAATAAGTTCTTGAGGTGAAAATTTAAGTAAATAAAACATATAATGCACAAAAATAATAGAAATAAATTATAAAACACAAATATAGATCAGATTGGAATACGGAGCTAAGAAAGTTGCAAACAAGGTGGGAAAAGACTATGAGATTTGAACTAATGAAACCAAAAGGCATTTCTTGCTTCCGTCAGCTTTACCACTAGGCTATCATCACACTGACGTGATTAGCAATTTTGGCTTATGTACATTATCAAGTTCTTAAAACTAAACTTTTTAGTCGTATTTCAGTGTACTATCGTCTAAAAAATTCACCAGAGTTTGATCTTCAGCTTCTAGGGCATTTTTTACAAAAACATAATTTTTTAAAGTGGCGTTCCAATTGAAGTTAGACAGACTGATAAAAATATATCCAAGTGAAAGATGTACTTACGAATATATGTTAGCCAATAAGGTATATTTATAAATAGAGAATTACAAATTTAACATAATTTTTAATGCAATAGAATATTTCAAAGGATATCAAATTTAATTTATAAATAACGTTATTAGTTTTTACCTGTTTCAAAAGAAAAAAATATTTTAATTCCTTATTTGATTTGCTATAGCAGTTTGATAGAGTCAGATATTCATTTTCATTAAAAGTAAATGTGTATGCCGAACTAGGAAATAATTGTAACCACAAATTTTGCTATTTCATGGTCTTGGAATTTTATTTTTCGTACCTGATTTTCTTGATAGTAATCCCTGCTCTCTGTGAAATACTACTGTAGTTGCAGTTATCTAATTTTTCTTTTAAACTAAATTCAGTTGATTCCTGTCTTTTTCAGTATGCATATTTCTCACTGTAATTTTAATTCAGAAATAAGTATTTTTTAGCAAAGCATTCTTTTCCTGATCCAGCATTCACCGCCACTTCTGCCGCCATTTGTTTTTGGTGACGACACCTGATTGCTCCTTTTTTACCAGGTGACCCCAACGCTACCGCAGACATACGGATATAGGTTGAACATTGTTGAACTCCATCCGTACATCATCCGTCACTGCACATCGACATGATTAGAGAAACGCATACGCAGAAGTGGAAACGGGGCTTTACTCATAAAAATGCTAAATTAAAATAATTATATTTATTTTAGGTGCTTTGTATTCACTTAAAGCGCTTCCGACATGAGGTGATGTTTTCCTCAAAAATTAGCAACTATGTGTCATTTCCATTGGAAGGTCTGGACATGTCTCCATTTCTACATAAAGGTTTGTAAAAAATTTGTTATCAGGTATCCAAAAAAGTTTGTGTTGCTGAAGTAAAAAGTGAGTTTTAAGCTGAAAGTGTTGGAAACCTTGTCAGGATGACTTCAGATGTTGCCATTCCCATCAGGCATCAGTCAGTGCAGCTATTTGGCATGTTTGTATATAGGCAGTTCTGTGAGAATACAATTCTGAAGTAAGCATGTAAAAGTATGATTTGTGACTGTGCTTACTTTAGGAGGTCAAACTGGGCAGCAATGCTGCAGAATCTGTTTGAAAATATATTTCACTTTTGGCAAGCTATCAGTGCGTGAGAGCATGTCGCTAAAGCAATTCAGTGGATTTGCATTGAGAAATGAAGGCCTACAGAACAAGCCTCAAGTGGGACGTCCATCTATATTTGATGAAGCGTTGCTAATGGATGACATCGAGTGTAACCCAAATCAAGCATGCAAGGAATTTGCACAAAGGTTTAGAGTGTTGGAGGAAACCATTCAATTGCATCTGCACAATCGTGGGAAGACATGGAAGTGGGTTTTTCATGTTTCAACTGAAGAAACTAAATTCCAATGGCTCGCCGTTTCCTGTTTATTGCTCTCACATCTCAGAAAACCCTCATTCTTGGACTAGTTATTGATATGTGATGAGAAATTAGCCTTAACAATAACCACAAAAGAAAACATTGTTGGCATTGGAGTTCTCGCAAAAAACATATTTTGCCTTGCTTAAATAAAAACCGAGACTAATCTAAAATAAAACTAATATTTATTTCACAACTTAAATTTAAAAAACTAGGCTGCAACAGTAACCTTTACATTGAAAAAAAAAGAAAACACCAGCAAATACTCTCGGGTTCACAGATACAGTCGTATAAATACAGAACATCAGCCAGTCAGGGGCAACCATGTTTATCGCCGATTGACCTCTGATCTAATTTGCATGAGGGAAATCCAAAAACGGAATATTAAATCAACATTCTCATGGTTCTTTTTTGGGGGGGCAGAAGCCAGGAAAAATATGCAATGCCCTCGTTGGGACTCGAACTCTGGACTTCTCGAATACGCATATGCATCAAAAGGCATGCGGAAAGGAGGGAGAAAATAGCTAATGTACTTTCCCTTTTAAATATAGAGTGGGGATTAGGGGACCTAATCACCAAATCCTGTTTGTAATGAATTATCGTCCACCACCTTTTTAACTCGTGTACCACTTGTCTGTGATTAGGAATTTCTTTTAAACTCCCAAGCAAAACATTCATCAACAGAAGGTACTGTCTATTCTTGGTGGACCATTGCTGCTATTGTGTACTTCATTGCTAAAGGGGCAAAGCCATCACAGCTTAGATTTACTTATAGTTGCAAAGGATAGTAGCTGCATTGCATCAGAAGCATCCAGCACTTGTCAATAGGAAAGGAGTGATTATTCTTCAGTAGAACTCCAGATCTTATATGGCAAAAATGACTTTACCTCATCCTCCTTACTTCTTGAGCATAATTTCACCTGGTTTTGGCCATGGATAACAATTTGCATGAGCAACAGTTCAGAAATGGAGATGATGTCACACAGGCCGCGGAACAAATTTTTGGCTCTAGGCAAAAGAACTTTTGCAAATGCGGGATTACTAAGCTTGTAACTCATTATTAACATGTTATTGAAGCTGGAGGAGATTAATTTGCTAAATAAAATGTATTTGCATGAAATTAGTAGGTCGTTATTTCTCACTGAAAACTACGACACAAACATTTTTGGATACCTCATATAAATTTAAGCATAAAGTTATGAGAGAAAAGGTTAAACCTTAGTGTTTAGCAGTTAATATTTGAGTATGTATGTATGTGCATTTATATATATATAATATGCATACAATAGTAAGCTAATTTTCAAAAGTTCTCTATTTCACTGAATTTCAATCAAATGATTTTAATGTAACTTGCACAAATTAAAAAAAAAAAATAAATAAATATTAGGCAAATTTTAATCTGCCTTTATTTTAATTACAGTTATTTTTACTAAATGGTTTTTGACTGGCTATGGAGCAAAATTCATCGTAGTATCAAAATGTGCGTGTGTCGAACTGGTAAAGTTTTGCTCATCAGATGACACTTGATTTGCAATACAAGAGTGTTTCTCATTGTGTGACCTTCATTATCATGCACTGCCTTAGTACAAACCCCAATATTAGCTCTATGGGGATAATTACTACCTGCTGTTCGATAGAGGCTTTTAATATTCTGAGTAGCAAGACTGTTTATATTTGCCCATAGAGAGCTGTGTTTAAACAATTAAATTAGTTGCTATCTAGATTAATGTAATTACTTTCAGCTTTATTTTTATTACCTTTCTTTCATAAAAATGTTGTATAGCTTATTAAAGAAACAAAAAAGTAATGATAAAAGTTATGAACAATCATATTGATCAGATAGTTAACATTGACAGTGATATTGGGATATCTCCTATGTATGAAAATAAAGTAATCGTTCTGCTCTGGTAGCAAATGATTTGGGGGCATCTCATATATGTGAATTTGTGTAGCTGCATAACCAGAAATCAAAGTGTGTGATCTGAAGACATAGATTGTTCTTCATGCTGAAATTAAATGTCCCTTTTTCTGAAAGTTGACAGTTTGACAGAAAATTTTTTGACAGCTTGTTGTTTCACAGAAAAAGCAGTATGGATCTGTTCCATTTGGCATGAAAATTACTGCATCCTTTCTCCTAGGGATAATTTTTGTTAGGATTGTAGAGATTTCATTTTGGAAAGTTTAGAAGGATTTGAAGGCAAGAATTATAGACCCACAATTCTAGCAGATTCTAACTTTTTTAATTGTAAATGTATTTTGTAACATCATTCTGTACAATCACCTTCATTTTTTTTTCCATAATTAAAAAAAGATATCAAAGGATTTTAATTTGACTTCCATTTCACTTTTTGGAGCACACACAAACATTTATATGTAAAGCTGTAGCACCATCTCTTCCCTTGTAAAACAAACCTTCATTTTTTGTATAAATTTTCTTTTTATGCTATTTTTGACAGCCTGTGAATCTTGATGAATTTATTGATGTGGCTCTCGGGCATGAAAGCTTGAAGACACTTACTTTAAAGTATGTTAACTGGCTTCCAGCCCCCAGGAACTTTGCATGAAGCTATGACACTAAGTGCATCAGAGAAACAGACCACAATTAACTTTCAAAGCTTGCCAACTGTGCCTACATCAGACTTGTTCTGATCACCAAGTCTTTCTCTAGGCAAGCAGCTGTAGTGGCAACAGCCAATCTTCTGTTACAAATCATGCTGATTATGAATTTACTTCTCATTTTAACCTATGCCATTTGACATAACATCTAACTACCATTTACTAAACCTTTAGGCTGAGCAAGTATTTGGCAAAATGAGACATAAAAGGGGGGGAAAGAAAAAAAAACAAGATAAAACTGTTAGTAAAATGTCATCAATCTTCTTTCAAATATGTCTAACTATTATAAATGTAAAATATTTAATGTCACTTGATAAATTTTATGAAGTTGATTTTACTCTCGGATTTGTTTTACAATTATCTGTATTATGTTTCATAAAATGCATCCTACTTGCAGATCTATATTATTCTTAGGGTGGTATTACAAAAGTGAAGTTCGGGCATAGATAATATCTTTAATTGAATTTATTCAGTCTCCATTTGCTAGTAGGACCTTAATTTTTTTTATTAATGTGGAGTTATATGGATTCTTGAGCACGATTAAGTAGAAACTGTTATTTATTAATCTACTGTGATGGAATGAAAAGATATAAACATAATCTAAACACTGGTAATCCAACAAGAATCAAGAAGTCTAAAACAGTTCACATAACAATGACTTACTCTCGCAGAACTATCAGAGTCTTATAATTACGATGACACAATTGAAAGGCTGCAATTCCACTAACATTCCTCAAAGATCCAACTGTGGACATCATCATTATGGGGTAACCTGCAAAAGAAACAAAAAAAGGGGGTATTGGGTACTTAAATTTGAAATGATACGATCATTAATCACTTGACCATGACTTCATATGGTCAGTTGCAGTAGATGTTATATTAGGTCCTTCATGGCATCCTACTTTTTCTACTTCATATCTATCATTTGGTTTAATAGCTATAAATTTATAAAGTCCATGAAATTTAGGGTATAGTTTCAAACCAGCCCCATACTGAGGTCTCTCGTTGAAAGAAAGCTTCGAAAAAGCATTAAAAAAGCGGTGAAGCAATAGTATTCAGTTACAGCTCCCATACCAGATTAGAATTTAGGAGAAAAAGCCAAATATACCCAGGTGCCGACCTGCTGGCACAAACCACGGGGAAGGCCCTCAACCACACTAAAAAAAAAAAATAAAATAATAATAAAAAAAAAAAAAAAAAGAAGGATTGCTTGAAATAGAGAGAATCGGCTGTTCTGACCACAAGGTCGACCGTTAGAAAACGAACCGTGATCTGAAATGGCTACTAAATCACCAATCTTATACCGTCTGGGTTTCTTTCTTCTTGTTATAGCTTCAACATATTTCTTTTCGCATCTTCCCTCATTTCGTCACTTTAGTGCATTGATTTAGATATTCTTCATTCAGTATTTCGTTGATCCTCAAATTTTCTTTGTTTTTCATTGTGCTCATAGGCAAATACTTTGTGCTTCTTGTGCTATTGATTATTCTTTGCACATTTGGTACATATTTAAATCATTTCATCAAATCTTCTTCTTATAACTTTAACAGAATCAAAATCCTATGTATTCGCTCAATCTGTTCATTCTCTCTTAGTATAATGGTAGTAATTTTGATATGCTGTATTACTTCTTCGGTGCAAATTCTTTCGATCTAAAGGCACTAACTCGGTTAGAGGTGATTCTGGCAGGATTTCCAAATACAGTCTGTTGTTGCCCGAGTTTTGCAATGATTTACTGCATAGTTTGGGATTTCACTGGATAGAACCAAGTAAATTTCATAAAAGCTTCAACCATGGTTAAAATATGCTGGTATTGCTTGATCATTGATGGTCCAACAATATTGACATGATATAAACTTAAGGGAACATTTTCCATTGGTCGAAGATGAAGAAAGCCTTCTGCGTTTCCTTGCTTGTTTTTTTATAGTATACACTCTATGCAATTCACAGTTACCTTTTCAACTTTGCCTTTCTGTCTGGGAATATTGAATTCTTTCTCTATAGCATTTGCAGTTTTCTCTACAGTGAAATGGCCTCTGTTATGTATCTTCTGAATTATTTTCATTTGTAAAAGCTGTTACTGCTAGATTTTCCGTTTTCCAATATATACAAATTACCATTTCTCAAGAAAGTATCTATTTTCTTCTTTCTTGCCTACATTCCTAATGCATTTCACATGCTTGTCTTCATTCTGTTGTTCTTCTAAACGAATCTTCTTGGTTACATCAGTTGTGTATGAGGTCAAAGCATTCCTTCTCTCAAAGAGCCTGCATGTTTCATTTGGTTTCCAGAATGATGTGCAATTTTGTAATCGAATTCTTCAATGAACATTGCCCATCTTGATATCCTGGGAGTTCTTAAGGGGAAAGTTCTTCGGAATCTTTCTTATCCAAAGTTTTCTAAAAAGCATTATTATCATTACGATTTTGAATTTGGAGCCTAACAAATAGTTTCTAAACTTTTTTTAAGAGCTTCTGTAATCGTAGGAGCTTCTAATTCATAACTACAAAGTTTCTCTTTCTCAGGTGTAGTCTGGCTCATGTGTTGGATTGGGTGATAACTGCTATCGTCAGGCAATTGGAGTAGTACAGCACCAAAGCCTTGTCTACTAACATTGGTATGAAATTCTAATGGATATTCTTGCCTAAACATGTGTACAACAGGTGCTTGAGAGAGCATTTCGTTTAATTTACAAAAAGCTTCCCGTTATTCAGAATTGAACTTAAAACCAGTTCTTTTATAAGTAAGTCACTAGGGTGTTTGGCTATATTAACATAGCATGGAATAAATTTGCGAAAATATCTAGTACTCCTAAAAAGCTTTGCAGTAGTTTCAATTTCACTGTTCATGAAAATTTTAAACAGCTTTGGAAAGTGAAGGTCAAATATTTCCGTTTTCAATAACGTGTCCTAAAGATTTATTTGTAATCCGTACTCTAAAGCAGTTTAGAAAACTTTTTCTAATTTATCTAAGCATTAATTTTCATCCTTATACAGAACAGTTATGTCATCTATATAAATAATTAATGTACCTTGTAGTGTCGCTTCAGTTCCGTCAAGTTTCTAATTAAATTTAGTTAAAGCGGAATGGCAACACTTCTAGAGTCTCGAAGGACGAAGAACAAACTTCAGTTTTCTGTCACGGCCGATTGAACGTGCATGTAAAAATGTAAAATGAAATCTTATGAATAAGAATCTATAACTTCGTAAGGAATAAAATATTGGTTCCATTGGAGTCAGATAAGTGTTATTTTCCTACATTTGCATACCAGACACTTCACACCTTAATTTAGTAAGTCTCAAAACATAATGATGACACAACTGGAAGGCTACAATTCCTCTGACACTTCTCGAAGATCCAACCATGCCAGGATCTGGCTGACAGGCACATAAGCTCACTGTTGAGGCCTCGAGGGAACATGTCTGCTCCCACCGATGGCTAACAATCTTTGCTTCTCTTCGCTCTGCACTGCATTGGCGCCAACTGAGATGACGTCAGACTTCACCTATACTTTTTAACATTAATGGTCCTTAAATGTTTTAAACAGTACTTAATATTTTTCATTAATGGTACTTAAAGTCTTTAAAAGTACTTATTGTCCATGTGCACAAATGTGTACAAACCCTGAATATACCATATTGGTGGTGCCATCTAACTAGCTAAAAGTAATAGATCACATACAACATGAATACCAAAAAATTACTATTTCAAGCATTTTTCTCTGACTAAATGAGCATTAAGGAGTTAAGAATGCTAATGTTTGTCTAGGTTTCTGTTGGATTCCTCCACTAATTGGTTGGTTCAAATCTTAAGTAATGCAAGGACACTTATAGCTGTAGCATGGGTGCAGTTAAAATCTGTTAAGCTGAAGTTATATGAAGAGATTGATGGTAGAGGAGGAGAGTTGCCAAAACTAGCCTTGAGAAAATTAGTTCTCCATTTATTACACAGAACTTGAACCCCCTGTTGCCCATTGGACTCTTGTTAAAATTGGGATGGAGCTGAAGCAGCTAGGCCTTATATGTTTTGCTCAAATTAAATGATGCAATCCAATCCTAAAAAAGAGGATATAAATGAATGCTAATGTAACTGAAATTCAGGTGCAACTAATTTGCAATTTTTATTCAGAGGATGGAAATAGTTTTATGTTTTATTGTAATTCTATTGATTTTTTTTTTCATAGATAAGCCTAGCATTGCATTTATATTATGAAATCCCCCCCCCATCTGTGTATTTTTTTTTTTTTTTTTTTTTTTTTTTGTGTGTGGTGGAGATAATGTAACTAAATTATGTAATAGGCCAAATTTTAGGAAGAAGACAGCTAAACGAAAAGTAATGCAAGAAGTAGACTTTTAGAAATTTAAAAAGTGCTTTACTGAGTGTTTAAGAGAATAAGCTTCTAAAAAACTGTGAGCCAATGAAAACTCAATTTTGTGTATGCATGTGCTGTATGGTATTTGATTAACACTGATAGTGTAATTTTCATACAGTATATATTCCTGAAACATTTTAGATTGCTTCTGTTGGTTGTAAATTTTTAATTGCCCTCTCTTAGTTTATTACTATCAGCTTGTGTTTGTTGTCATTGACATTGTGATTATTTTTTCATAGGTTATCCTCAGGGTGTAACTACCTATGACTTAATATCAGTTATTTGTCATCATGGAACTGCTGGATGTAAGGAAAGTTATTTTCTTATTTAGTTATTTTATGTGTTTAGTCTTAACCAGATTTCAAATTATGTGCATGTTATTTCAATGTTTATATTATTGCCTGCGTACAGGTTTGTAATAGATTGAATGAACACAGGTCCGATGATAGGTTAATAAAATTTATTTTTATCAAATGAAACACTTCACCGGTGATCACAATATTAGAGTACGTTGGAAGTTACGCATCAAACTACTAAGAACATTAAAACACAATGTAATATAGTTTTTATTTCTGTGTGTATAGTAATGATTTTAGTATTTTGCCTGTTTAATTTATTTCTATTAATGTGATATTCTTTATATTAATATATATTAAAGCAAGTACGTTAAATATGCAACTTCAAAAATTGAAGTCATGATATCAAAATGCTGATTTTTTTTTTTTTTTTTTTTTTTTTAAATTAGGCTTATCTGCTGAAAATGCACGGGCCGGTGCCGTGATTGCGCTTTGTTCTCCTGACGCTGGTCCTTAAGGGGTTAATTACATTTATTCAGTTACAATGCCTATTACAGGGATTAGACCAAAATGTCGTGACTTTTGGCGATCTCTCACCAAATTTGGTGACAAAATAAGTTGCCAAAACTGCTGTTGGCTTGCCAATATCTCGCTAAATTACCGGAATTATTGAGTAAATTACTGCTGCATTTACTCAATGCACTTGCATTTGTATTCTTACTTTTGCAGCATAACTTGTTCTCACTTAGATTTTTCTTTTGTTACATGACGCAGAAAAATACCATTTCACACATTATCTATGAGCAAAATTCATAACATTCCTCCCTTCCCAAGGACTGCACGTTCTGGGCAGTACAATCCCTGGGAAGGAAACCTTACTTACAGCTAAAGCAAAGCATGTAATAATAAAACAGTACTTTCAGTAAATAAATCAAATACTAAATGAATACCTGAGTGTATAAACTTACAAATAAAAAATAATATAAAAATTATTAATAAGAAAAAAATAGGACCACGGTCTTATACTATTTACATTGTATACATTACGTACTATGGCCATAGTAAGGAGCTCACCTGTCATAATGAACGGATTTAGACTTAGAACTTGATGACTTACAGATCCAAACTACGTCATTCAATCTGTTTCGAACTGTGTGAGGATCATCCCAAGGTGGCTTTAGTTTAGAAGAGAGTCCTTTCTGTTGAAACATATTCCACAACCATACCTTGTCTCCTTTGTTGAATTACTGTCCCGTAGCTCTTGTGTCGTATCGGGTCTTCATCCTCTCCGTCACCAAGTTGACTCACTTTCTTACAAAATTGTGCATCACTTCAAACCTTGCCTTGAGATTTTGGACGAACTGCTCGGGCAATGCATGCACATCCGCAGGGTAACCAAACAAGAGATCACAAGGCAGACAAAAGTCACGTCCGAAGAGCATCTGAGATGGGGAATAGCGTGGACAGCACTGCGATAGGCCAATAAAAACATGGAGTATATAAGGTGTTTTCTTCCTCCTTCCAGCATGCCTTCGTGGTGTTAATGGTAGCACAACGGCAGCACATTCAAGAGGTCCAGGTTTGAGTCCCAGCAAAGAAATTGCTCATTTTTCAAAGAAATTGCTCATCATTCATCTCCAGCATCAAAATAGTGTTATGACTCTACAATGGTGCCTGAATTAGAAGGTGGTGGATGATGATTCTTCACCACCAAGATTTGGCAGTTGGGTCCCTTAATCCCGTCTCATTTTAAAAGGAAGAGTAATTTGAGGTATTTTCTCCCTCCTTTCTGCATGCCTTTGTGGTGTAACAACACACTCGGCACATATTCGAGGGGTCCAGGTTCGAGTCCCAGTGAGGGCATTACTCATTTTTCATGTCTCCTGCTTCAAAAAAATCCTAATGTCTCTACAACATGATAGCTTTTTTTCCATCTTATAACAATGCATTGTATATAATTTAGAAATCAACTGTAACACTACAATTAATTTTCTTCTGTTAACTTCAGTTGTTCATTGAAGTTTACTGCTACCTAATTTTTGAAAGCTGCAAATTTTTATAAACAAAATTTAATAATTCCCTAAATAAGGGAGAAAACGTTTTATTGTGATTTGCTGAAAGTTTATTATTCAAATTATAAATTTTTCTGAAAGGTGTATTTTTTTTTAACATATTATGTCTAAAAGCTTTTGGTTTTTCAGCTGGCCATTATACAGCATATTGTTTTAATAATACTAATGAGCAATGGTATGAGTTTGATGATCAGTATGTTACTGCTGTAGATGATGAAGTAGTTAAACATTGTGAAGCATATGTTCTTTTTTATCGGTAAGTTTCAAACCTTTGTGCTTACAATTTTTAAGCCTGCATTTGTTAAAAATGTCTTGACATAGATAAAATTTAGTCTTTTATCTGTTGTGAATTTGTTTTTATGATAATTAGGAAGAAGCTGTATTTTGTTCTTTAAAGATTTCATATTGAATTATGTATTAAAAATTGTATGAATTATATATTAGAAAAGAAAGATGAATCTTTGTTTTCTTTGTATAATGATAAATTTGTTCATAATTAATATGGGAGGTCCTGTGTACCCATAAAGAGTTTCGAAGAAATTTTTCAAATATTTCATGTGTTATTAGAAATTCTTAGTAATTTAAAGTTTGTTTTCTACTTTCAGTGGAAAAAAAAAAAAAATGAATTTTCAAAGAAAAAATATTCACACCAATAAATACAGTGATCATTAGGTGAAACAGAATGCTCAGATCTCTGAAACTTCATAAGCTATTAAAAATTAATTTGCTTCCTGAGTCTGTGATTCTTTGATCATGAACTCTGTGTAAGCTTTGTAGAGTTTCACACTGAAACACTCCTCCCAATCACAGTGCATTTTCCCTTGACATTATTTATTCTAGGGTGTAGCAAAGTTTGCATAAGTGGGTCTATATTCTTCCCTAAAGAATAAAAATATTATGATATACAGTTAGATTTCCACTGCATTTAGTTTCATAATTTCATAAAGCTATGCACATTTCAAAGTTAACTCTGATTTCAGCATTAAGTTGTATAGTAGTTGAAAGGTACGCATATATGCAATGGTGAAAATTTTAATTCAATCTAGAGTGCTGAGTTTGTTTCAACAGAATTTATTTTTAATTAATGTGAAAAATTGCAAAATTATTTTGTAGCATCAGGCCATGGTTAGTTTATACAGTTTTCTGAAGCAAAACTCTGAAGCATAACTAAAAATTGGAAATAATTTAAAACTTAAATTCCCATTTGGAACATGCTCATAAAAAGTCCAAGTTACTGTAAAATAGAAAGAATTGAAAAATTAGAGCGGCATATTAGTATATCTCATCTGAACTGTAAACCCTTGATTTTAGAGACTATTTGTGTATAAGGCATGCCCTTTATTGCCTGAAGTCCATTAAATTGCACTTATTTTTTAAAAAAAGAATCTGCTAAGTTTTTAAGCATAAAACCTTGTTTTGAGCCTCCTAGCAGGATTAGGTTAGTGTTCAATGTCATTTCATGTGCATAAATTTCAGAAATTCATGCAAAACAAAAGCAATTCGAAAATTTGCAGATAGATGGGGGAAAAGCACTTTTATTAAAATAATGGCTGTAAAAATTTCATCCGAGTTGTGCCACATTGGTGTAAATGCATATTTTTAAATACTTACCTCATGCAAGCCTTTTCATCATCACAGCCATCTTCTTCAAAACAAGTAGGTCTTGCAGCATAAAGCTAGTTAAAGCCTCCTTAAAGGATGAATTTAAATGTAATGAAGAGCTCTTCAGCTTTTTCAGGGAATTTTCATACACCTTTAGATAATTATTTTCAACCATTTCATTTTTCAGTATCATAGTTTCACAATTGTGTAATTGTATCTCATGTACCTCATCAGTGAAAGAAAACATTTTAGGATAAAATAAATTCAGCGAGAACCTGGTCAAACCTTTCTAATGAAGGGGGAACTGAAACTCTTTCAACTAGTCTTCAAATCATAAAAACTATGTGTAAGGTGTAACATTGGGTAAGACAAAATTGATGTCTTCTTTCACAAAGTTGGAAAGGAGGGGGTACTTTTGGAGTTGGCTGGGAAAATATTATCAGAGTTCACAGAAAAAAAAAAGTTCCTCTTTGTTCCTTTATGAATTGTGTATTTGTCACAATCGTGCATCATAGTTTCACAATTCTCTAATGGGCCTTTTCAATTTTGAACAATGTTTTGGGGAAAAAAAAAAAAAGGAGGGTATTCTCATCTAAAAATTTAATTATTAAAGAAATTACTTCTTTATAAAGATGTAAAGTATATGAATATTTGGCAATGCCATTTTTGTGTTCCAGGAGGGGGATTTTAAAAAGGTTTTTCTTTGAGACCTCATAGCAAAAAAATAATAGATGAATTGATGTTATGTTTTAATGGCATCTATTTTTTCATATATGAGTTTCATTTGTTTATATTGTATTTACTAGTTAGTAACAAAAGGCTGCATTTTTGCACTTAAAAATAATGTATGTAAGAAGGTGTGTATTCTTTTAATCAATATTAACTTAAATTGCTGGACATTTTATTCATTTTACACAGCTTTAACAAAATTAGAATTATTTCATTTGCAAATTTTCGGCTGCTTTTATTTCTTAAATTTCATTCACATTGTTTGAATTGGATGTAGACCAAATTTTAAGACACTTGTTTTGATAGTTCTTCCACTAGCGGGACTATGAAAAAGTGCATTTTAAATTTGAAACACCTAGTATATTAAATAAAATAACAGTATAAAACTTTACTTTTTATTTTATTTTTCAATTTGGTAAAATTGAGGGGAAAAGCAGACAGCCGAAAAAAGTATTCATTCAGTTTTATTGAAACTTTCTCAAGTTGGTATTTCAAGAAAGACATGTATGGGGGGAAAATTATCAGTCAATAATAGTTATAAACAACACATAAAAGTTTTGGTGGCAAAAAGATTCATTGATGAAGATCTGACACTGTTGGGAAGTACTTATCTGACAGTGTTGATTCCTGTCAAAAATATTATTGTTAACTGCAGTTTAGGGTATCTGCCTATTCATGAAACATACGTATTCTTTGCTTGATGTTTGTAACTTCTTTCCAAGCATATTCTATACATTCTTGATTCAAGTTAAGTGATCTTGTTGGCCATTCCACGTAAAGCAGCATTTCAGATTCTGAGTAATGTTGGACAATCAGAGGCCTGTAAACTTGCGTTTTTTACCATAAAAAAAAAAAATTACATTAAGATCCTTGGTTGAAGAAGCGGGCAAACGTACTAAACTAGGATGTGATCTGTGTACTGCATAGCATTCACAATATTATGGGATGAGATACAAGGTAAATACAGCCATCAAAAGTGATGCATTTGTAAATGTTAATGACATTGTGTTCCGAATAGTCTTCCGATGACAACTGTTTGGAGTCAGTAGGTGAAATGATGACTTAGTTGTAATGAATACTATACCGCATTGTTGTGAAGTCCAGTTACAAGGATCTTAAAACCATTCTTAATAAGTCATATGTGAAAGTGTCAGTGAGGCATGTATCACTAGTCATCTTGTGTACATCTGACCTCTATTTTTCTGTGTGTAAACATTCTCCAGAAATACTGTTCTTATCAATGCTACAAGTTCAGAAACAAGTTGATATGCAGTGGCAGTATGCATGCAAACACGGAAAGTGTTCGTAAGCCTTGAATAAGTACTTCATGGCAAAGTTGCTTTAGTTTGATGGCAGCAAATGATTTAATGCTTGGGCTCTTTCTAGCTCTCGCTGACCCTTTTGATATCCCCTGTTACTTCCTGTCATTCGCTTCATTTAAATGAGATTGTGTCTTTTTCAAAATTTGTCTGGTTTTCCTTCTGAAGTCAGTAATGCAAAGATGCAGGCTTTACTTAAAACTAGCCAATGTTGTACATAATTACATATCCTAGTTGTTATACCATATATTTTTGCTTGTTATTGCCTATGTGTATACATCTGTTGCATATAAAATTTTTGTCTTTACATGTGAAATATATTTCATTATGTAAATACTAATGTTAAATGAAGGAATTACCACTCTTGTGATAAGTACTTTTAAAATATATTAGTGATTGAGTTTGAAAATTTGGTCATAAGCACTAGCAGTTTAACTTTTTATTACAATAAACGAATAACAAGTTATCATCAACACATGAGCAGAAGACATGTGATATTAGAAATTTTTAAATATCTTAGATTTCTTTACATACAAGCTCTTCCATGGTAAGTGGTACTCATTTTCTATAGTACTTATAGGTTTATTGTCAGGACTCATAGCCTTAAAACTGTATGTAAATGAGTTGCCAATCCACATACTGCAACTACTGACAGTATGTGTAAATATTAAGTTCTTTTATCTTTGAGTTTTTAAATGCTTCTAGTGTAAATCACACTATGACGTGTAACAAATGCATCACTTTTAAGCTTCTTAACTAGCTTTAACTTTTGTTCCACACTCAAGTGAATTAGTTCACATTTAATTCCTTTATGCCAGCAAAATTATTGTTCATTTATGAAAGTTAGTTTCATCTGAAAAAAGTATTAGCAATCAAGTGAATAAATGAGTAATGTCGGTGAACTAAACTGAGTTTAAGAGATGGTTTTTTGGGGGTAGAGTGATGTCAGAAATCTATTAAATGTTGCTGTATTTGCATATGTTGAAATATTACTGATATAAAGTATTGTTTTTATGTTTCAGGAAAAGCAATGAAGGAATGCGTAAAAAACGTGATTGTGCTATTAATCTTATTAATTGTGCTCGAGTTGAGGTAAAGTATCTTTTTGTGTTTTTTTATTTTTAATTACTGTGCGAAATGTGTTTTCTTTGGGGAATTGTTTTCTAAACATAAATTGCAGTTCCTTCCCTAGAGGGAACATTACTGAAATAAGTTGTTGAAATAACTATTGATTTTTTTTATATTGGCTTAAGTTTTAGCTGAAGTCTCTTATTAAATATATAGGAGGAAATCTCAGAGCTGTCAGGGTTCGTAGTAGTCCTTACAAGTGCTTGTAAGTCCTTATATTTGAAAATAAAATATAAAGGCTCTTATAGGTGCTTTCTTTTTCTTTAAAGCTTTTGTTTTTTGTTTTTAGTGCTTATGTTTTGCTTTCGGTGCCTTTTTTTTTTAATGAATGTACATTTTTCCCCGTACCAAGCCGAGACAAAAAACAGCTTTTCTTTCTTATATGGAAAATCATATGGTGAATCATACTCCCGGAAATAGCTTTTCCTCCTTTCTCTGCATTAACGTAACCTTTGGTGCGTGCAAGAGTACAGACAGGTGCACGTCGTTCTATTGGTCATCGAATTGCGAAAGTGGTAGAAAATTTCAGTACATTCAGTATTCTTTTCCTCCCACTCAAATACTACACACGTTTGAATTTCTATCAAGATTTTAATAATTTGCATTCTTCTTCTGCGTGGCCAGTTCATATTCGCATTTCTTATGATCGTTATGCATATATTATGAGCATATGTATGAATATTTATAATAATATAGTTGCAGTAATTGCTGAAGTATAGATAAACTTCGAAAATGGGTGTGTTTTAACACAGATTAGCTTTCTAAGGAATAATATTCGGAATGGCTTAAGTAAAGGGAAAGTAATCGAATAGTCTAAATAATTAAAATATTTTTTGCTAATACATTATACAGTAAGGAGGTTCTTCCCTTTCTCTGCAAAATCTCAAATATTGAAACTGTTACCGCTCCAAAACAAGCAACAGACATTTTTTTGTCACTTTCCAGTCTGGATTGAATAGGACTAAAAGTTCTGCGGTCTACCAACCCAAGCGAAGAATGATTCTATTCCAGAAATTTAATGCAGTATGTTCAAAATTAGAATGAAAAACACCCAGATTGGTAAGTCTCTTTTCCTTTATTTAGTTCTTTATTCTCCGAATACCGGCAGCTGTTGATTCCAATTGCGTAATATCACATGGGGAAGAATTATGGTGCACGTATTGTGCAATAACATCTGCAATATTTTGCAGAGATAATTCATTTTGATGTTCAATCTGAGAGTTGTTCATGAACATTTAAAAGAATTTTACTGTGCTTGCAAAGCAGAATGTTTTTCAGTTTCGTTGGTCTATATGTATATGATGCACATATCAAAATATCAAAAGCATTTATTTGTCCAAAAAAAAGAATGGCTAGAAACTACCCCCCCCCCGGGTCCTTTTTCCAGTTACGCTCGACTGTCCAGAATACTCCACAATTTCCGACTATGCGGGTTAGTTAAGCTTTGACTGTTAAAGGATCACTGTATGAAGCAATTTCCAGTCTTCTGATTTCAGAAATGTTCCTGTTTTTTACTTAAATTACTTTGCTTGCAATATCTCCTAAGGGAAAACTGTTATACAATGAAAATTTAGAAAATGTTCAGAATTTTGATTTAAGTTAAATTATTTAAATATTAATATGAGTGGGAAAATAAATTCTATTTATTATTAGGTGCCATGTGAATACAATAAATATGGCTTATTATTTATTTTCTCTATTTTTAACTGAAATTTCATCATTAAATCTTGTAATATATTTTAGTTCTGCATAGTTTCCCCCCCCCCTCTCATTGTAAACTAGTTCTGTAAATTGAACTGTTATTTAAAAAAATAGAATGTAATTGTTTTCCTTGGTTGAGCAATGCTCATTCTCTCTGAATAAATACTGAATTTCTCATATTTTAAATTATAAGTCTAATTTTTCTTTCAAGGTTATGCAGTTGTGTATAGTGTAATTAGACCGGTGCTTTATTTTTTTCTTAAAATGTGCTTGAAAAGTGCTTATTTTTTAAACTAAAATGTGGCTACGAACCCTTGCTGTAATTTCAGTCATTCAGATGTCATCATTTTCTTATTCAGTGACAGCCATTTGAAGAAATAGTCTCTAAATAGCTGCCTTTTGCTAATGTCTCGGTCTGATGGAAAATCAAATTATTTTATTTGTTTCTGGCCAACAAACACAATAAACATAGATAGTTTGGCTGTTAAATTGGTAATTTTTACAATGGAAAACTCATTTTGCCTTGTTCATTTTTTTGTAAGCATTCAAGTTTTAAAAATAACCCTTTTTTGTGATTAAGATAGAAGTTTCAAATTTTTTGCACATGTTTGGCACTTTGCATTGGTTCACTTTTCAAATTGTTGCCACCAAATATTAGAACCCTGTGTTATAACTAAAGAAATTAGATAATGAAGAATCTACATAAATGTATGTATGTTTCTCGCATTTCAATAAAAGAACAGTACCTAGAGCCATCAAATTTTGAATAACGTACGTCTAGAGCCGAATACGGGCAACTGGAAGCCCGAATTTGGAATTTATTTTATTATTGATTTCATATTTTGTAACACTTAACAAATGTTTTAGTTACAAACTCTAAGATTTCAAAACGAGCAATGGCAACACTGTTCGAAAAGAACATTTTTATCTCCAGCGCACGAGACTGTATCAGAAATTCTAAAGATATGCTTATTTTAAAATTATTTTGCTATATTGCTCTTGACACCCCTTTGGGCGTAATGTAAAATTTGAAAGCTTTCAGATTTTATTTTTATTATTACATTGTTCATGAAATTTTACAAACTATTGTTCTAGCCTTGTCCATTTCATACTGTTCAATAATCATTTTCAACTGAATTTCATAAAACTGATAGCTGCATTTTTGATCAGTTACTTTCAGTTAAAGTTTCTCTAGGAATTTGTAGTGTTTTTCTACATTCTTTTGTCGTAAGTATGTCATCACATTTTTTTGTGTAATTTTTGCTGTCGGTTCCTGCTGTTCTTTACCGCTTTCTGTAATACCATAATCGTTTATATATATATATTGCCTCATATTCTAAAAATGAATCTATGACTGATGCCTGACATATCAACTTCATCTTGCAGTTCTTGTGAGGCTTCTTCTACATTAAAAAGCTACAAGTAACAGTTTTTTTTAACTTTGTTTTAAAAGGTTCACCCCATGCATTGACTATAATATACATAGCAGAGATAACATGCTTATGTCCTTCAAAGTGCTTGCATTTTCACAAAATTCAATTTTGTTTAGCATTTTTTCAACATCTTTTTTGTAATGGCATTTGAAAGCTTTTGTTTTGACATCTGAAAATTTATTTTATTAATGACATTTGAAAGCCTTTGTCTAAAGATTAAATGTTAAAAGATTAATTTGAAGAAAAGACACTAATATTTTTCAGAGAGTGATCAAAAGTATATATGCTCTATTGTTACCTATATAGTAAAGCTATTTTTTCATTTGTTAATCTGTTGTCTTATTTAAAAGAAAATTAGTAAAAATACTACTTGTCATCCATGAATTCTTGTTGCTGTGATAAGTTAAATTTTTTCAAATACCCAGAGTTTTCTGCTTTTGTCATTAACCATTGCTGTCTTCGTAATTGTTGGGCCTACATTGCATATTGTTAACACAGTAATCCGTCCCTTCAGTTTCTTTCACTTTCAAATATTAATGTGTGTCTGGTAATGTCCTGTAACACAATCTAGTTTTATCTTATTAAATTTAGTATGAGGTAGAAATTAATTTAGCAGCTCAATTAAAGACCTTTAATCCTTGTTATGAACTACAAAATAATCTGCCTCTTCTTTTTCACCATGCATTTTCCAATGAACAATGTTGAAATTCTTTTTTTCCAACGTAACAAACCATCTGTCAGTTGATAGAAAGTTCCCGCCTAGCAATTACATGAATTCCACAGCTTTTATACTGAATATAGCTTTAAAAATAGGAACAGTGTTTAATATCATAGCTCGACACCATCCTAGAAGAGCAGTTTCAACATCTCATAATGAATTTTTTGTGCGCTTTCCTGAGATGTTTGCATTTTTAATTAGTTCTTCAGTTATAATTATTTTAAAGTTAATTGCACTATCCTTTTTGAAAAATCTCCAATTTAAATGTAATTTTTTTTCTTTCTGCACTTACCAAAAACTTCAAACTTTTCTTTCAGTCCTTTTTTCTTAGGCAGTTTACAAGTTAAGCATATGACAAATTAAAAATATGCTTTTTCAAAGTGGATCATTCAGTTTCGAAACTCTAGTTTTCAGCTAGTAGAAATACTGTAATTTGTCTGCTTAGTTCATCTTCCATTTCATGATAGGCATGACTAGTGGTTTCTTTTTCTTCGACAAAAAGCTACCACTCCTGTTCTGTTTAAAGACAGTTCTAACACCCCAGGGGCATCTGAAGATTTCATGACCCCTCCTGTTTGCCAAAATACAATAGGGATGCAGCATTTAGGGACAGATTCCTCCGCCCCCTAGCTATGCCTCTCAAAGTGTGGTAAGGCTGGGAACTATTTCGTGAATGTTTTTAAATGTCTCTGGTGAGCATAAAAATATCTAATCTAAAGAAAAGATTTTGAAATTGGAAATGTTAGAAGATGGGATGCAAAAAGTGCACTTTCATTTTGTATCAGATTGTATTGGTGAAGTGACAATTCTCATTGCGAAACAGTAGGGCCTGTAGAGAACTGTTTTTGTTAACTTTATGGTAAAAAAAAGTTCTGACCCTCTTAAGTCCATTGGTGACGGAGATCTGGAAAGAGTGTCCTGCAGGGATGGGGGGTGTTTCAAATCAATCAACTTTTAAGTTATTTTTAAAGAATTACAGACGAATGATAACCAGTTTTAAAGAGAAAACCTTTTTAATTAAAAACAGCTGCAAGACCTGTACAATCATTCTCTTTGGGAGGCAGAAAAATATTGGTCAAACGCATTATATTGAAGCGCTAAATGCCTGAACAATAAATAGCCATGGTTCACAATAAATTAAATGGATTATCTACATACAGCTTTGATAGACCTATGATTCTGGTATCTCAGTACTTTGCCAATCTGAGTTTTATAAATAAGATTTTTCTAGTAGATAGATAGTATATATTTATTGTGATTCGTGGAGATTTGAATGTAATAAGGGGCTAATTTTATTAATCAGTGTGTTTAATAAGCAGCAGGTACTATGTATATTTCAAGGTTTTTTTCCATTTGGTTTATTTAGTTATTAACCCCTTAGGCAGATAGCCTTCCTAATGCCTTTGTGGAGGACGTTCTAAGGGAAGATGTCTTGTGTTCACAATACATATAGAAAAATCTGCAAAAATATACATGCAGCTATCCTGTTCATCAGGATTTCAAACCCTGGACAGAACTACTAGTGTTCAGCAACTTAAATGTTCTGCCACTGTTGGACCCTGTATTTTCAGGAATGCACAAAAAAATTCGATCCAAAATATTAACGCTTTAGAATATACTAGAAAATATTTGAAATGAATTTTTTAAATTCTATTTAAGCAAACAGTTTAATAAGACAGTTTCTGCTTGTTGTTCCTTTTTTAAATGTAATACAAACATGTGATAAATAAATGCTATTTTACATCAATAAAAATTGTAGTCCAAGTGTTACTTATCTTGTATTTTTGACGATTCGTCTTTCTAAAACATTGCAAGATTTTTTTTGGGGGGGGAGGTTGTGTGTTTAACGTTCAATATTATGAATTAATTTATGCATACTTTCTGCAAAAATTCATATTGATTTTTGTCTATGTTCATTCTTTGTTGACATGCATGTTTTAAATTTTTCCCTTAATTCAGGTTGAGATTTCAAATATTTTGCATATGGTATTAACAATAGCATTCATAATTTTTAATACTTTTAGCTTTAATTAAATTTCCTCATTTTTCCTCTAGCGAAAAAGAAAAAGTTATAACAAAATCTAATTACTGGAGCATATGAAATTTTATATGCACTTTTGTGTAGTATATTTTGAGTAATGCACAAGAAAAATTTAGAGAAAAAAATATCAATATCTAAAAATGTAGTAGCAAATTCATTTGTAATTAATGTATTGGCAAAAATAATTTATTAGTTTTATTGAAACAAGGAGTTTGATATTTGTTTGCAAATTTTCTTTGTAATTCCTTGTTAAAATATACAATTTTCACTATAAATATTGAAAATATTGAAAAAGAGAAAAGTTGAAAGATTACTGTATCTTCTTAAATCAGCCACCTGTGTTTTTGTTTTAAACAACCAAGAAAAGAGTATGAACATAAACTAAAACACTTAACTGGTCCATGTGTTCCAGAAATGGGATCCTCTTTGACAAAACAAATACAATATTGTATACAATTTATGATGCTGAAGCAAAGTTATTTGAACATGAAATAGTATTCCAAATGCAAAATGTGGTTTATTAGTCTAGAAAGAGCACTGTAATTAAATCATAATGCTTAATTTTCACTACTGGATTTTTTCGTTTTTTAATTCTATGTATTCTATTCTTATTCTTTGAATTTTTTTGAGAACTTTGAGATTAACAAATGTTTTCATATGATGAATTTTGCCTCTTGACTGCATAATCAGGAAAGAGGCCAGTTCTAATTTATTTCAGTACCTGAGGGAGACTGGTTTTTGTTGTTTAGTTTGATTTACTTTTGTATTTTAGTCGTATATATATATATATAAACGGTGTATCTCGTGTTTTATGTTTTTACACCTGTTTTCACATTTGATTTTATTATCTGAATAATATGTGATCTTATTTCAGCTTTCATCATCAGTTCTTTGGATTTTGTGCATTTCTTGTGGTTTTAATCTTGTGTGCTTATCTAAATGTCTGCCACTTGTGTATGAAGTGTCTGTCGTGTTTTTGGCACATTTATAAGGTTTTGCACCTGGAAATTCAGTTTACCACTACCATATGCTTAATTAATCTCTTTAAATGCAATTATAGTTTTGACAGTACCCCATATGAAGGGTTTTTTTTTAAGTGTTTGCTAATTATGTGTTTGTAATTTATAGTTGTAATAAATCAGAGTTATTTGCTAAGTTTAGGTACTTCCATTTTGAAAAATTCTATTAAATGATTCTGTAAATTTTATTTTTCTCGTGATTGTTTTTCTCTTTTTTAGAAGGGTCTGCTTGTATTTAATGTTTCCAGACAGTGGATTATTAAATTCAACAAATTTGCTGAGCCTGGACCAATTACTAATAGTGATTTTCTCTGTACTCATGGAGGTAAGAATTTTTGTGTGCTTTTATTGAGCCAATGAAATTTAACAAATCAAAAGATTTTGAATTGAGTGAGCAATGACTACCTTCCAAAAAATGCGTTTTTCTTTGAGAATTTTAATATTTTGCTGAACTTTTTTCCCCTGCTACCCTTTAAAGGTGTTCTTTGCCTCAGTATCAGATCTGCAACACCTCGTAAAGGAAGCCCATCTTTTGTGGAGTTGGGCACACCATTGTTGGACACATAATTAGAGCTAGATTGAGCTGCTGTCATTACAAATCATTAATGTTGGCACTGTACTGTTACCATGCAGTATTATAGGGATGAGGTTCTTGAATCTTGCATGAGACCTTTCCAGGAAACTATTGGATAGGACTGTTTCTGTAGGTGACAAATCGAAGTTACTTAGAGCTCAGTTGGTTGACCATTTTCTTTGTGGAAAATTTATTAACCGTATAGTATGGCCATTGAAGTCATCAGACCTAAATCCTGTAAAGCATGTTTGAGAGGCTCTAGAAAGAACCATAGCATTACATTAACATTCACCAGACCCCTCCAGGCATTAAAATCCTTGCTTGTAGAACAATGAAATTTTTTGCCGACATTTTGTAAATTGAAGTTATGATCAACAACCTTATTTACAGTATGAGGGTCCTCTGTGAAGCGTGTAAAGCAGTGGAGATAGTTTTACATCATATTAGGCAGGCCTTTTTGGAAATATAAGGATGTCTTGGGGTTCCATTTGTGTTTGTTGCAAAACATTTAGCCCCTTTTGTATGTTGTTATTGACTGACTCATAATACTGAACATCTGTCTACAAAATTTCATAACAATAAAACTATTTTGAGGTGTTACATTTCGTGTTTGTAACTGGATTTTAGGTATCTGTGGTTTAACATATTCTTGCAACATTGCAATTTTTGATCATGCATCCAATGTTTTCTTCTGTTATGATGTATTTTATGTTATGCTTTCTCTGTTAGTTTGTTCCGATTTTTTATGTTTATTTTATCTTTATTTATAAAAAAGTTTTTAGTATGTGTAATTCTGTAATTTTACCCTTCCCGCTTAATTTTCTAGGTGTGCCACCTGATAAAGTCTCATGTGTTCGGGACTTATGTTCATCTGTGCCTCAAGCTGTATGGGAATACTTGTATGAAACGTAAGTAAAACTATGTGTAAATTTTAGTTTACTTTTTTATGTTTTTTAATTTGACTGTGAAATGTATAAATTTCTTTTGCTAGTTTTGGAGGTGGCCCACCATCTACACATCTGTATATATGTCCAATATGTCAAGATGAGCAAGATCTGCTTCATTCGAAACGGAAAACAGAACTTGATGAATTTACAATGGTAAGTCTGCTTAAGTGTGCACATGTTCACAAACTTTTAAGTAGTGCATAAATTTGCCTTTAAAAAAATTGATCACTAAAAATTTTTTCCATTGTTGAATTTTATAGATGAATTGTGAATTTCATGAAAAAAAAAGAAGTCCAATTGTTTATGCCTTAAGTATGAGCTGGTTTAAAACATGGGAAAATTTTATTTGCAAAGATGATGGTAAGAATATATGATTGCTGATAATACTTTAGTTATATAATTCATGTTTGAAATATTTCAAATTATGTATCTGTTGAAAATTAGTAGTTATATTCAAAGCTTGTTTAATGCTTTTCCTGAAAATGGGGAAAAAAACTCCGTAATTAAGCATATCTCCATCTTTTAACACACATTATTATCAAACTTAATAATTATCTTTTAAAACAACTGTGTATTTTTTACAAACTGCTTTACTCTGATTTCTTTAACGTCTTGCTCATCACTACTTTTGTCAGTTCAGGAACTTCAATGTATTAATTAGCAATTCACATCAGCTGATAAAGAAGATCTTATAACCTTTAGTTTTCAATTTTTCTGAAAGAAAAAAGTGCATAATGGTTCATAGATATGTACAGTACCAAGTCAAATCCGGATGTCCATTATCCAGAATGATCTAAAATCCGGACCTCAAAACCACCAATAATGTTTTTCTCGTAGACTTTATGCATGCGCTTTTGATTCCCCCTCCATGCATAATAAAACATCTGGAGAGTCCCGATTTTTAATTTCACTTCAACACTAAATAAGGTATGTTGTTATTGAAGAAACAATCATTTTAGCATAAATTTGTACGATCAGTAATTCGGCTTCGTTGCTGCATATCTGCTTGGCACACATCTCAAACCAAAACATTCCACATAGATACATCATTGATCTGATGCCAACCTGGCGAATCATTATTTATTACTTCCTTTCATCATTTACTTCCATTACTTCCATTCATCACCACATGTTTATCAACACATGACAACTTGAGTAATGGCTCATGTAGCAATGCCTAAACAATTTTTTTTTTTGTTAGTAATTGAATAACAAAGGAGTATGGTAACCTATTATGTTGATTACAGATTTGAATAACAAAGGAGTATGGTAACCTATTATGATGATTACAGATTTGAATTAAATGCACTAAAAAATGTTAACAAGGAAATGTTTAGCAAGAATTTCTTTTCATATGCTAAAAATAGATTTTGTTTATGATACTTATAGACCCAAATATTACATTTAGGGCTATTTTAATTAAGACTAACTGATCTGTTATTCACAGAACCGGCACCAGGGCTCGTAAGATGGCAGCGGGTTGCAGAATTTAAGACCCACAGAAATTGCATCAGGTGGTAAAATATCTAGCGCCAGCCCTCCATAAGGCTTAAGTATATGTGGGAATTTATTTATTCAGAACTCTGAGAAGCATGTGCAAGTAATAGACATAAGTATAATAAATAACTAAACTAATACAATTCAAGCTTAATTGTCTTAGTGTGCAATAGAAGCAAGATAAAATTTAACAGAACAACTTGTCGTTAATCGCCAAGCTCATGATGCGTAGCCAAATATGTATAGTGAAATAGCTAAATTTGATGATGATAGTTGCGAATGTTAAACGTTTTCGGATATCGCAAAACAAAGATTAAAGTAAATTTTCCAAACAATAGATTTTGTAACAAAGAAATGTGGAGAAGCGGCAATAAATGAAGATGATATAAAAGAAGTTTTTTATTGTGATGACAATGCTTCTCAGTCATCAATCAATTAATGAATGGCCAAATCTAAATCTAAAGGTCAAAGTGATAGGAAGTTACTGAAAACAAAGAAATTTTGATTGTCAAGTTAGTCGGAATTCTTGACACGGCAGTTACAGGACTTCCACAATGTAACTAAACGAGAGATTATGTCTGTCTACTGAGTTAAAGAGAAAGTATTAGCATAAAAAAACAAAGCAACTTAAACAACTTGCATTGAAGGAAATGTTTAAAAAGGTAAACAAATATTAAGCTTTTTTTATGTGTGTGTGTGTAACTTCTGATATCCTTTAGATCATAAATACTTCATTATTTCATAAATCACAATTTTATAATTTCTACATGCCATCTTACTAGATTTATAGGATAATCTAATATCCAGAAAAATCCCAAATCCGGAAACGCCAAAGTCCCGACGAGTCTGGATTTCGGACTTTGTACTGTTTTTTAAAAAATTATAAAAATAGCATGTTTTCTTGGTTTAAACACTTTGACAACGTTTAAGATTTTTCAAAATCTTGTTTTAAAAATTTGGAAAGTTACGAAGGTGATTCATGCTACTAGACTATGAAATAGTAAATTAAATGATAAAAATGCTACGTAGTTCGAATGTTAATAAAGAGTAACTTAGTGAAATTTATGGAATTTTTATCTGAAAAATGAAGTCAGAAACAAGATGTCTCGTATTGTAATCAGTTTGTGAACTGAATTAAATACCAAATATATTACATAAAACCTATTTTTCAGCAGATGAAATAATTGTATACAATTTTTGTTAAAAGCTGAACAAAAAATATAATATGTTGTTAAAAACACCTTGAGGTTTTTTTCTAAACTAGGTGGTATGTACAACTGTTCTTGATTTATATGAAATTAAATTTTGATTTTTTATTATTGTTTTAGATCCTCCTGGCCCAATTGACAACAGCTCAATTTGTTGTGTAAAAAATAACCAAGCAGTGTTAAAATATGGTTTGTTGATAATTTTTGTGTTGCTTTTCATTTATTTATTTTCCATTTATACTTATTGCTGCTTTGTGTATATTCACAAGTGTTCGTTAATATTTTTCATAAATTCCAGGATCTGATTATTGTTCGATATCTGAGAAAATGTATGCGTATCTCAAGGGAATTTATGGAGGAGGACCAGACGTAGCAGTACAATCGAATGCAAATGTGATTCCATCTCCTTCAAGTACTCGGTCTTCATCTTCTGGTCATTCGAAATCATCCTCACATTCTGTGATTTCATCTCCTTCAAGTCCTCCTCTGTCTTCAGCTTCTGGTCATTCGAAATCATCCTCACATACTGTGATTCCATCTCCTTCAAGTTCTCATTCTTCAGCTTCTGGTCATTCAAAGTCATCCTCACATACTGGTACTGGTGCTCAGATTGTTTCTGTACATACAGGTTGTCGACAGACTATAGCTAATCTTAGTCAGCCTTCACCTTCAGCTAGACGTATTTTTGGTATACTTTTTAATTTATCTACATTGTGCTGCTATATTTTATTACCGGTTAATAGTGCCTTAAAATTCACAAATACTGATGTAAGAAAAACAGCAGGCCTTTTCTAATAATTTTCTACTTTTTATCTTAATATTTTAATAACTTTCTTAAAGATTTATTTTACTTACACATTTCTTGTTAATTGCAAGCCGGTAATTTTTTTTCCTTGATTTTTTTCCTTGTGTATAGCAGTCTTAAGAATGGCAACATTTTTCTATTTAAAATCTTAAACTCGCTTATAGTGTTTATAACTTTGTTTTAATTAACAGGATTACAATGAGATGTAGGATTATCATCTAATCTGTGCAAAACTAAAGTACCTGTAACAAAATTTGTTATTATTTTAATTTTAGGATACTTTATTTTTCTGTACAAATTCATTTGTTGTTCATATTGTTAGAAATTTGGCTAGTATCTTGTATGTTGTAAAATTCTAAAAATGTTGCTATCATTAATGTCTTCCCTAATGTCATTAAGCTATGTTTTAGAATTAAAAGCACTGAACTATTGCTTGTACTTGCATGTTACAAGTGATGTTAATGTTTTCCCATTTAATTTATTTTGTAAATAATTTCTGACTAAACAAATTTAAAATGCATTCAAAATTTAGAAATATTTTCGAATTTTTACTTGGCATTTCCTGAAATACACTGTAGTCATAAAAAATTACCCAATAAATGAAACTCTAGTCGCCTATGCACTCAGCCAGTAAAAATCAAATTTCAAATATTATTATGTAAAGGTATGAACTTGAGATTGCGATGACTTAAAACAGTAGAGCTGTCACAGTTACGGTTACAGAAAACAAATTTCAAAATTTTTAAATGGCAACACTCACTTTTCCCCTCCACAAATTGATCACCACATTGAAAAGCCATTAATGAAGTTGGAACAATACAGGTGTAAGGATTATGTTAATTTTATTAATAGTTAAATTTTGAGTTAAGCTTCCTTTCCTATCGCTTCTTAATTTCAACTTACCACTTCTGGCCAGAACGTAGAATCACGTTTGAATGCTAATGAGGAAGAGCCGGTATTTAATTGCAAAGTTCTACTATTTTAGTAAGAGAGATACCAGATATTCTGGCTGCACGCATCCGCCTTTTTAGGCTACTCTCTCATAAGCTATTATTATGCTTGGCCGTCCTTTAGGCTCTTGATAGCTTCGCAGTCAATTAGCGTTAAAGGGCCAACTCTGTTAGAATTTTGATAGCTTCGCAGTCAATTAGCATTAAAGGGCCAACTCTGTTAGAATTTTGTTAGCGTCGGCTATATCTCTTTAGTTAAGATTAATTTAGTTTAATTCTTAGTCTCTTAAGTTGAAGCCCAAGTGTCAGCTTTATTGTACAACTCCAAGATGGAGTTCTGTTAAATCTTATTTGAATAATAAAGGGTCTATTAACCCTTTCCAAGTTTATTCACTGTCTCACGAACTCAAGCGATTATTTGCTTACTAGTTCTTAAGATGTATTTAACTGTAACTTAGAATTACACATTTTTAACTGAGAATTACACAGTGTATGATCCTACATGTCTGGCGTAAAATATTTCAATAGAATAGCATTTTAAGTGACCAGTGACAATATTAGAGAGGAGAGGGAAAACTTTTATTGAACTATCCGGAATATTTGGCAGTTTCCAAGTATGGGGTTAGTTAAGCTTTGAATGTTAAAGGATCACTGTATGGAGCAATTTCCCGTCTTCTGATTTCAGAAATGTTCCTGTTTTTTACTTAAATTACTTTGCTTGCAATATCTCCTAAGGGAAAACTGTTATACAATGAAAATTTAGAAAATGTTCAGAATTTTGATTTAAGTTAAATTATTTAAATATTAATATGAGTGGAAAAATAAATTCTATTTATTATTAGGTGCCAAGTGAATACAATAAATATGGCTTATTTATTTTCTCTATTTTGAACTGAAATTTCATCATTAAATCTTGTAATATATTTTAGTTCTGCATAGTTTTTTTTCCCTCTCATTGTAAACTAGTTCTGTAAATTGAACTGTTATTTAAAATTTTAAAAAATATATATAATGCAATTGTTTTCCATAGTTGGGTAATGCTCATTCTCTCTTAATAAATACTGAATTTCTCATATTTTAAATTACAAGTCTAATTTTTCTTTTAAGGTCATGCAGTTGTGTATAATGTAATTAGACAGGTGCTTATTTTTTTCCCCTTAAAATGTGCTTGATACATTGAAGTATTTCTATCAATTCATATAAATTTCATGAATAATTTTTCATATGATACAAATTTCTACCTTGATCATTACAATCATGAATAATAGATTAATCACTATTATCTATATAAAATTCATGAAAAAAATGTTCTAATAATTCATAGAAATCATAGCAAGTAATATATCATACCACTAACTCAGCATAACATATCTAAACATAAATACCAAAGCATGAAATATTAAAAATTTAATTAAAATATACTTAACACGATAACCATATGAGAAATCTGATCTCCATTGGACCTGTAAAATATAGAAGATAGAGATGGTTATTTAATATAACAAAAATAGCAGTAAGAGGTATGTGTTTTTTTCATGGTTTTAAGCTTTAACTTAGTGTTTTTAGTCAGCTATTGAATAAAGTCACGTATTTCAATATAGTTATTCAGTCAAGTCACACAGAACCACATAGTGTCCACTTAGTCCGATATGAATCACTTAGTTCACCATTAATATCACTTAAAGTCGCATGGAGTCCACACAATGACGGCACCTATATAATCAGAATGACTAACGCACATCAGTCCTGTAGAGGTAATCAAGGCAAAGCATCAGCATTATTAAGCTTTGCTCCCGGGCAATGAGAGATAGTTATGTAGTATTCCTGAAGAGCTAATGCCCAGCGTTGAAGCTTGGATGACTGAGGAGCGTTTTTAGTGATAAATGCGAGAGGATTATGGTCAGTGATCAATTCGATATGTGAGCTAAAAATCCAAGGCTCGAATTTCTTCAAACTCCATATCATTGCAAATGCCTCTCTCTCAATTGTTGGCCATGCCTGTGAGGTTTTGTTAATTTTTGGCTTGCATAGCTGATAGGACATAATTTCTCTTCTCTGCGTTATGATAAACAAGCACCAATGCCCGTTAATGACACATCTGACTGTATTATGAAGGGTTCTCCAATAGGATGTATCCTTGCTTGGATGTGTAGAGATCAGTAGCCTCCACTAGCGATCTCTTCAATTCTAGAAAGGCTTGCTCAGGAATCTCAGACCAAGGAAGTTGTTCAGAAACTCTTTTTCTGGTTAATTCGGTGAGTGGGTATGTGATCTCAGCGTAACGTGGAATATATTCTCTATAATAATTACAAAAGTCCCAATAAACTTCTTAATTCTTTCTTCGTTTGGGGTCACAAAAGTTTCTGGATAGCTTTGATTTTCTCTGGATCCGTCTGATGCTTTCCTGAACCAACAATATGTTTTAAGTATTTGATATGAAGTTTAGCAAATGAGCACTTCTCTAAATTAATTCTAAAACCTAATTCCTCTAATTTTGATAGTATAACTTCTAAGTGATGCAAATGAGACAGCCAATCATTTGAAAATATGGCTATATCATCCATGTAAGCTCACGAATAGTCTCTAAATTTTGACAAAGCTCTGTTCATTATGTGCTGAAAAGTTGCAGCAGTGTTCTTTAGTCCAAATGGCCTAACATTGAAACAATATTGAGTGCCATGTGTTTTAAATGAAGTTAGTTCCTTACTCTGCTCTTCCATAGGTATTCCCCAATATCCTTTCAACAAATTGAGAGCAGTAAAAATGTTTGCTCCTCTGATACAGTACATCAGATCATTCACGTTTTCCATCAGGAAATCATCTGTTTTTGTAATGGCGTTTAATGGCCTATCACGTCCCTCGTATGCCCCACATTGATTTCTGCGGTTATTTGACGCAGTGTTGCTTGTATGTGAACATTGACAACTCTACGCAGACGTCGCTGGTCTCGGTCGTCAAGTGCAGGTGGGCGGCCACTGCGCTTTCCATGGTGGGATGTTATGCCTGAAATTAGATACTCTCGGCACACTCTTGATACTGTGGATCTTGGAATGTTGAATTCCCTAACGATATCCAAAATGGAATGACCCATGCGTCTAGCTCCAACTACCATTCCGCGTTCAAAGTCTGTTAATTCTCGTCGTGCGGCCATAATCACGTCAAAGCCTCTTCACATGAATAACTTAAACACAAATGAAAGCCCTGCCACAGTACTTCGCATTTATACATTTTCTACGCGATACTACTGCCATCTGTATATTTGCATATTGCTATCCCATGACTTTTTGTCACTTCAGTGTATAATATATATATATGGTTTCTTCCGTTCTGAACCAGATATTGGTCTGATTCTGTACTCTCCTACATTAGCTATTCGAATTTCACTTGAGAATAATTTAGGATACTTGCTTAGTAATGTCTTAATTTCCTCTTTCTGTACATTGTTTAGGTGATCTAGTGGAATGTTCTCTATTCCTTTAATGCTTTAAGACTTGGAAACGTCTTGCTAGATGGAGTTGAACAAATTTCTCCGAATTAATTCTCATTTTCAAATACTACGCCCACTGCTTGAATTCTAGGAGTGTATTTTCGAATTTTACTTACGTGTATGTTTCGAATTTTCCCATCTGGTAACTTGATAAGAATGCGACGGAGTTTGTTGAACTATCTCCCTGAGCCCTGTCCATCGTGTATATATTTTATTAGTGGAATTTGGAATAAGTAGCAGTACTTGTTCTCCAATGTCGAATTTCCAAACGGAGGAATGTCTTAAAATATTCAGCACAGGCTCTCTCCTTATCTGGAGCGGTTAAAGAAAGAAGCTTGTTTTGCTGCCTTTCTAATTGTATTTTCAGATCTTATAGAAATGCCACAACGGATTGTGAGATATTGGCTGGCAAAAGTATACCTCCTGCCCAAGATGACTTTACAATTATTTGAGGTCCACGGGCTTCTCTTCCGTATAGAAGTTTAAATGGCGACACTCCCGTAGTGCAGTTTGGAACCTCTCTATAAGCAAATAATAGAAATGGAATTTGTTTGTCCCATCCTCTTTTGGGTCTTCTTGTATTACATGATGTAACATATTCTTAAGGACTCTATTCCATCGTTTTATTAAACCATTGCTAGCTGCATGACCTGGACATGAAAATCTCGGGAGATGCTTCAGTTCTTCTAAGAAATTCCTGGGTTAATGCCGAAGTAAAATAAGTTCCCTCATCGCTTGCTACTATATGTGGTACTCCTGTCCTAGAAAATATTTGCAATAGTGCTTCACACGTAGACCTAGCACTCAAAGAAGTTTAGCTTCAGGCTCGTGTATGCTGATAACACATAACGCATATTTATGTCCTCGACCCAATGGTGGATCGATAGGAATAATAATATCCATGTTCACAACTTCGAATGGCAAATCCGGTCTGCACACTGGGGTTATGGGTGCTCTCTCGTGTATTCTTTCTGGATTTCTCAGCTGACAATTCTCACAAGATTTACAGTACTCCGCAATGTCCTTAACTATGGAAGGCCAATAAAAGTTATATCGAATCCACTCTTTGGTCTTCTTAATTCCTAAGTGTGTACCAAAGACTGATTCGTGTGCTAAGTACTACATGCCTGCATACTATTGTGTAGTTCTATCAAGACTTATGGTTGAGTGCATGTCGTCACCTCCGACGCTGTCCAAACCCCGACTCCTCTCCTGTGGCAATCAATCGCCAGAGAGAGTTCTGCAAGCTTTTTTCCTCGAATACAAGAGGGAGGGAGGGAGCTGTCAGACATTACAAACTGTAACCAAGGAATAAGTTAGATTTTGTAATTTTTACAAAATTGATACTTTAATTTGAAATTGCTATAACACAAAAATTTGTTTTATTTTAAAAAAATAATTTGTAATAAGTTGTATATATGTTGTATATATTTGTAACCAGTGGCTTCAAAAATAAAAGCCACATTAAGGACATTTATGGTCACTGTGTGTAATATGTATACTTGAAAAAAATTTTTTTTTCATATATATGTTTTTAATTTCAGATAAGGATGAAAGCTCATCTGCCAGTGAGGCTAAGACTACTTCAGCCGGAGAAGGGACTGATAAAGTTGATGATTCTATTGGAAATTAGAGAAATCAGTGCACATTAACATGTACAAAATTTTGTATAAGGACATATGTGCATTGTGTTATTGTTATTTCATACCTCTTTATGCATTATCTCTCATGTATTGCAAAAAGCTGTATTTTCATATATAAAGTAGTTAAATGTAAGCATTATTTGTGCATATGTGAACAAATAGCACTTCATAATAAATCCAGGTGTACGGTAATAAATTAAAAAATTAGTAATAGTTAATTTCTTGAATTTTTCTAGCATCTTGAAATGGTTATTTTCTAAATACAATTCATCTCTTACTTCAGGCCTTCCTTTCCAAAATCCTAGTATTATATATTTAAGTCACACATTCCATTTATGAAGTTGTAATTTTTTTAACTGCTGATATTAATAGTTTTCAAAAGTTGAAGAAATAATATTTCATTGGCTATTTTTATAAAGCATAAATTTTTAACCATGTACATATTTTCATATTATGTAACATATGTATATACATATATATGTGATGCATACGACAATTTTACCATTCCGCTTAGAAGCCAAATTTTAATCTTAAGCTGATTAGATTCTAAGATAATTATGCTTATTTTTGCTTACATTCAGTAAAAGGAGAAAATTAAAAAAAAAAAAAAAAAAAAAATTAAAGGAAAAACTTAGCAACTAAATTCTAATACTGTATACAAAGATTTCATTTTGCCGCAGTTTTGTTAAATACATCTCAATTTTGAACTATAAAATTAGTTCAAAATTGTGATGTGTTTTATTTTTATCCTTGTAATAATTATTTGAAACCAACTTGTAAATCTAAATTTCACACAGTCCATATATTTCAGCAATAACAAATTAAGCATGATATGTAAACCAGATCTTTTCATAAATTATTGTAGTATACATTTTTTATGTATTACAATGTTGATAGAAATACTACTGTAATAGTAGTAAGAGTGCCTAAGCAAGAATGCTATATCAACTTTTTTAAATCTAAAAATCTTTTCACTTGTGACTATGTAATTTGTATTTTGTATTGTGAAAAATTTTATATGAGTACATTATTTTGTAATTTTACTTCTCCGAAGAACACATTCAAATATTTCTTATTGTTTTGATTACTGTGCTAACATTTAAACTTTGCATTTTAGCATTTATTCATTTAACTTTAGCTATATTTTCCTTGTATGCTTGATGTAATTTTGTGTATTAAGTGTAAAACCTATAAATGAAGCATTTTGTAGCTTACTTTAATCTGATTTTTAGTCATAACTGTAATTTATGTTAAACTTTGTTTTGAGAACAGATTTTTATTTCATTTTTAGAATTTGCTCATAATGTTTGTACCCCCCTCCCCCCGGTGAGTGGGAAAATTTGTATTTTTACTAACTTTGAGGAAAGATATGTGCTTTAACTTTTTTAGTATATTGTGATTTTTTAAATTATTCATTTGAGCTCAGTTTTTATTATTAATCTTTTCATCAGTTCAATAATGTAATAAGTATTTCAGCTTTCATATCATACTTGATTATTGGTTGTAAAACTTTGGATTGTATTACTTGATATAATGTCAGTAGCATCTGATTGTAATACTTAAAACTTCCTTGAAATCAAAATGGCCAGTTATTTTGTAAATTATACTAGTCTTTAAATATTTATATTAAAAATGGTCAAGTATGACCTTTTTTTTTTTTTTTTTTTTTTTTTTTTTTTTAATTTAATTTTAAAGTAGGCATCTCAATTCACACCTTTTTGTGATGACTGTTATTCATTTCAAAATAGAAGAAATTTCTTCTGTGATATATTAACTCTTGGATTTTCCCACCTTGATATCTGTAGAAAATTTTGTTGGCTTTGGACTAAAATTATAAATGAACATCCATTTTAATACAAAGTTCTAAATTTTTTATCTATTTTTCAATCTTTTTCCCAATATTTTGGTAACTCAAGTTACAAAGCAATCTTCTCAATAAAGAAGTTGTATTTGACATTGTCCGTATATTTTATACAGCAGTTTACTTCAAAAATTGCTGTAGTACCGACCCTGTGTGAAAGTCAAATAACTTTCACACAGGGCCGGGGCTAGATGTTTAGCTGCCTGGTGCAAGCTTTATTAGCTTCTAAATTCTGCTGCCTGGTGCCTTTCTAAATTTTAAAAACTCACCCACCCCTAAATTCTGGCACCAGGCAAGCTTTTATGTGAGTAGTGTTAAATACAGCTTCTTTACTAAGCGAGGGAAACCATGAAATGTAGTTTATAACTTAAAAGGTTGTATGTCCGAGAATTTCCTAATAAATTAAAAAAATATTTTTGCGGGTGTTTTATTTACTCTCTAATATTATTTTTACTTTTCTTTATAAAAAAAAAACTTTATGGAATTCCCCCTTTTTTATTTATTTTTGTATGTAAACTTGCACTGGGTTCAGCTCCTTTGGTAGTTTGCATATACCGTTTTGTTTTTGGATAAAAAAAATTAAAAATTTTAATTCTTGCAAAAACAAACTCGTATATGATGTCATTTTCTGCTTTACTGAATTTGATTGTATGAGGGTTTGATAAAAATAAGTGGCAACATGTTAGTATTTCTGAAAAGATTTGACCATAGGTAAAATCACAAACTCCAATATAATCACTTACCATTTCTAATCATCACCCAAACTGTTAGAAGACTTTTTCATCAGTACTGCTAAACCTATTGCTGCCTCCCAGCAACTGCCTTATAATATCCATATCCTCCTCTCCAGTATTATAATGAATCCATTATAGTTAGAGGGGCTTAAGCAGGTTTTCCAATTACTTTTATCAGGGTGATCGATTACAGGGCTTTCATTATGGCACTGTTAATAATCATGAGGAATAATGGTATTCATCTCCAACTAGTGTTGTTGCATTCTCCGGAGTGCTAGATGCAGGTGACAAATCCCATTATCCTCCATGTTGACTGATGGAATCATAATGGAAGCAGGGTTGTGATGTGTAATGTTAGGAATACCCAGTATGTCTGTTGCCACTACTTTTCATCCAACCCCTGCAAATTAACCCTTAAATGTGTGCTTTTTTTTTAATTAATTGAAATAAGGAATCGCAATTATGCACTTTGGGGTGCAAAATAGATTTTTTCTAATAGCAACATTTAGGACATCAAAAGTAAATTTTGAGAAAATAAGACAAATATTTTTTTGACTAATATTGTTTTCCATACTTTTAATGGATTTGAAAATTTAAGAAAGAATAGCGCTCGATTTAAAATCGGTGCTGTAGAAAATTTTTATTTGCAATCATATATTGACTGTAACCAATTATTAAAAATTTACGAGCTCATTGACTTTAAGCAGTACGTATGTGTGAATATCAAGGCAACTGTTTGCAAGAGCATGCATTTAATGGATAAAATACAAAAATTGTTAATATTCAGGAATAATTTCACTTCTGGATGTTAACAATTTGGGAATGTAATTCTTTTTTTTTTTTTTCCCATAAAACATTATTTTAAAAATTAGACTTATAAATATTTCTAGTTCTCTTAAATGGTTGTATTCAAATTTAACCTGTGGACTTGTTCCTCCCTCCCCTCAGAGGATAGGTTGCTCTCTGTGAAAATGTTACGATTTTGAAATGAAGCCTTATTATGCAAAATACACATTTTTTTCTCCAAAGATCAACTGATTGGAATATTGAGCTAACAAAAAATATATTACAATAGTGTGAAAATTGAATGAAAATAGGAAAATGTATGTTTTGATTGCCTATTAATATATTCATAGCCCAGTTGTACTTAAATGTTTTTCCCCTTTTTATCATATGGTTAAAATTATTGATACATTTTTCATGTAAGTTAAGTATAATGAGGATACATGTTTAGAATGAAACATTCAGATTGAGCTAGGTAGAATAGATTTCAGATTCAGCATTATTTGTCACCAAAGCTTTTCCATTTGACTAGTTTTAAAATTTATTTTTCCTCTAGTAATATGTAGCCTACATGCTTATTTGTATTTTGGTTATAATGTAATTATAATGGCTTATTAAAAGATGATTTCTCGATTTAAGGTATCAAATGTTTTAAAATACATTGACCTATGCTGAAAAATAGTTGTAGCTAAATTTCTACAAGGTACTTCCAGGTGAACATGCTTGATTTTTATGATTTGCCTTTTATAAAATTCACTTATTAGAAAGAAACTTGCTGTTTTCTAATACTTTTCAAATTTTCTAGTACAGATCTCTAAGATGGTTTAAAAAAAAAAAAAAAAAAAAAAGACTAGCCCCTTATCCTCGGGCATGCTGCAGAGGTGGGAGGGGGGACTTTTGTTTTTTCCTATTTTGCAGTATGTAAGAACTTGGTAGCTCTATGCAGTTGTTAGAAATTGTGCAATATTCAGCTGTCATTAGTTTTTGTTATTATTATTTAAATATATATCTTATCATTTTTGTTTTGTGTTTTGTTAAAAGAATAAATATTATTAAACTTCAGACTGTTAAAATATATTTATAATGCATACCAAAGTAGTAAGTAATGTAGATAGTTGACATTCCTTATTTATTGATTACATTACAACATATTTATTTCTTACTCACATATTGTTTAAATGTACATGCCAAATAATTATCAAAGAAACTTTTCTTTTCTTAATGTTTGTTTAATGTAAATTGCAGTTCCTTTCATTTCCTACAATTTTGGCATGCATGATTAATAAACAACATTTTCTTTATTTCATTGTTAAACGTTATTTAAGCCCATTACAATAGAAATTTGCATTATATTTTTTCAACATTTTCATTAACCTCAGCGACTTACTTGTTTTGTTTAATATAAAACTGAAATAAAGAATTACATTCTTTTTAAGTTTTTTTTTTTTTTTTTTCCCCTAAAGTCGATCAATAGTTTAAAAATACTCATCTCGGCTATATTTGACTCTTAGACAACCAGTGGAAAAAGATGTTGAGTTAGATGTCCTTACTAATTAAATTAAATTAGTACATTAACATGCACAGTAACCATTATACTTGATAGTTGTATCTGATTTAAATAGAAAATTATGCTTATTACTTACATTAACTGATTATGCATACTTTATCACATACATAACTTATCATGCTTCTGAAAAAAATTACCTTATAGTTTGCTTTTGTTTTGAGCACATACAGAAAACTACCTTTACTAGTTTAAAGTGTGTCATTATACTTGTTGTTTTTAACCCTATGATGTGTGTAATATTATTTCTGTAATGTTTTAGCTAAAAAAAACTATATAAATTGAATATTATGATCCTAGAAACAAATATATGAATTTAAAAAAATCTACTCTTGCCCATTGATCAGCGAGTGCACTGTGAAATCGGCATGCGTCTAGGACTTTGAAATGTACTGAGGTAGTACGGGGGAAAAAACTTGCCTTGTAATTACAATAAATGACGAAATTTGCGAATTTAAAAAAAAAGGGTATTTAAGAATTGCTTTATATGTAAGTTTTTTACATTATCTTTCAAAGTAAATCAGAAAAAATAAACACTTATGTAATTTTTCTATAGCAGTAAAAACCTAAGGATGTTCGGATAAATGTATAAAAAAAAAGCTTCAGACATCGGGGTGACAAGAGTCCTTAAGTCCTTAGAATTATTGGTCCTTAAAATACCTTACTTTCAGCCAAAATCGGCAGAAGGTCCTTAATTGTAATCATCTGAAATTTCTGTTTTTACGACTGCCATTTTGAGTGTGAATTATCATTTTGGAGGAATATTTTTCGCACTTCACTGAAAAATATGGTTGTCTTTTGAATGGATTATAATTTGTTCCTATTTCTAATATAATAAATGATGGAATACTGGCAAGAGTGAAACACTTCAAAATTATTTCATTTTTTCTAATGAAAAGCTCTTAAACAGCTTTTCACTTTTGGGGATGTGAATTCTTTTATTAAACGGTTCTAAGTTTAGCAACTTGTCAACATTTTGATGATTTTAAGATCAGTTTCTATCGAAAAATTTTAATTCCGAGATCTGCGAATTTTTCGACGATTTTTTTTAGAATATCGATAAATTTCATTAAATTAATGATAATATATTGAAATTATATTTAAAAAATTTTTTTTTATTTTTCGCTGGTCATATTATCAAGTTACATTTTGGCCACTTATTATACAATATTTTGAATCTGAAAAATAAGGTTTAGTTCTATAAAGCGCAATTTACGAAACAGTTCTCAGCAAAATAGCTTTGTGCTTAATTAAAATGCCTTCATTTTAATTTTTTCATGGTAAGAGTTTTCCCCGTGTAAATGTTTCAGAATTCTCAGAATATGCATCAGTTTTCTGTATAAAATTAATTTACACTTTTTCCAATTTGTCCCCCCCCCCAAATATTTCTAGCTTTTCGCTGTTACAGAATTGGTAGGGGTAATTTCTCTCTAGGATTTTAGACATTGCAGCTTGGAGAGATTTAGAAGGATATGAAGGCAAGATTTATTGACCTGCGATTCCAGAAAAATGTGACAAAATGAAAAATGTCTTTGTAGTATTACCAGATAATTGATGTATTTTACAGAAAGTTTGCGATGGACTTTTTACTTTTTGGAGAACATCTGGAAGAGCAATGACAGCATAATATTTGAATGTTTTACTTCTGATACTAGCATCTTTTTAACATGTTTATCTTCTCTACTTGTCACTAGACACAAGCATGGAAAATATCAAAAATGCTTTTAAACTTATCACATGGCCAGGCATTATAGAAAGTTTTTTTTTTTTTTTTTTTTTTTTTTTTTATGAATAAAGAAATTGAAAACTGGCAATTTAGAGATTTCATCTAATATGTCTTAATGCATCTTCATACATAAGGCTGGCACTAGCCATTTTTCCACCTGATGCAATCTGTGGGAAATTCTAAATTCTGCCGCTTTAGTAGGGCTAAAGGGCTGATTCTTCAGCTGAAACCGGAAAAGACTGATGTAGTTTGGTTCGCTTACTGCTTTGAGTGTTTTATTCTTCGTTCAGTTTCATGAGTATCTGCTTGGAACTCAAAAGGTTTTGAAGAATTGTTTGGTAAAAAATATGAGCAAGAGAGTTTATCTCGCGAAATTACAATATATATGCATGTATATCTGACCTAGTAATGTAGCTATCGCACATTTAATTAAACTATAGTATACGTAAAACATAAGCTTAATCTAATATTTAAAGTAGAAGATACATTAAATATGGTTCATTTTTCCCGCAATATATATTTTTTTAATGCGTGTGAACAGTAATGTAATCTATCAACAAAAAGCATTGATAAATTTCTATATTTACGAAGAATTCTTTTCAAGCTAAAATATCACAATGTCGCAAATTGTGTTATAGAAATATTAAATAAAATTATGCAAATACACTTTCAGGGTACATGCTAAAAAGACCTTACAAACCCATATGATTAAAAATTAATTAATGCTAATAATAAATTTCATAATACATTAAATCCAAACAAATTTCGCTTCATTTAATTTTGTGTTTCAACTAGCACTGGAAATGAGTAAATCAGATTTTTGTACAAGCCTTGGTCAGTGACTATTAAAAAAGCATTATTATGGATCATCAGGAATACTATGCAGCATCCATTACTCATAAAATAATAAAAATATTTTAAATTAATATTTATATACTTTCTTATGTATACTCGGGTAATCTTATAGTTTAAAAATACACTGCTCGACAATGAAAATGCAACACCAAGAAGGAGTGGTCAGAAAGTGATGAAGTTTGGGGGGAAAAAAAAAAAAAAAAAGAGAGAGACAGCAAGCAACAATAAGTGACTTTTATTTCAAAATGATAGTCAGAATACAGAGCGAGAACGGCGTCGGCTAAGTAGGATGTAGGACCACCGCGGACAGCGATGCACGAAGAAACACGTCCAGTGGCGTAGCGAAGGGGGTGCATGATGCCCCGGGCGCCGCTCGTAGAAGGGCGCCAAATGGTCTCCAAACAAGATTTTCCGGAAAATTTCAGTTTTTATTTTGATCGATTTCTAGAAAATATATTAATAACTATTGTAGTATAATTATTTATTTTCTTGATTTGCCTGATAAAATGTGTAGTAAAATGTTTGCAGTACATCAACCAAAACCCTCTTTCTGACCACTTTATTTCTCCAAAGTAGAGATATTTGTACTTTTTTAAACGAAATGCACGTATATATCTCCCGCTTTTTATTTTAAAACGATAACACGACCTTGTCCCGAATTTCTCAAACATATCCAGTTTCCATAATCTGGAAATGACATTTTCGGAAAATCCTAACGCTTCCGCTACAATGGATTGCGTTTGATTCTCCTGTAAACGAATGATTTGCCTTACTGGCTACCGATTCAACCAAGTCATGTTGCTGAGACATCGTATGTTCACTGCTACGAAGCATTCAACGCATGTCAATTGTTTTTAATCTTCTATTACAAAAGGAATACTGCAGGTCGCTCCTTGCTCCTTATCTAAAACGCATAGTTTTTGACGTCACAGACTAAATTTGCATATTCCCAACTTTGTAAATGTTATAATTTTCGTTTATAATCTCTTCTATTTCCTTTTGTTCAAAAAGGTTATCGATTATATGGTTATTTCATACCGAACCCACAATATCCCCTAATTGTTTTGAACAGTGAATGTGACTGCATGACGTTACTCCGCAGTAGAAAAGAAACAGAACCTAAAACTCCAATACAGATCTATAGAGAAAATGTTTTTCCAAACCTAAGAGTCGCACTTCAAATACTACTTACTATTTCATTATCAAATGCTAGCTATGAACGTTCGTTCAGCAAGTTAAAATAAATTTTCACATATTTACAATCAACGATGGGACAAGATCCCCTAAGTGATCTAGCATTTTTAAGTGTGGAAAGAGAAAAATTTGAAAGGACCGACTTTGATGAAGTAAATGATAAATTTGCTTCATACAAGGTAAGAAAAATGTATAGATGGTAATTAATTGTATTTCGTGTATTATATCATTATTAATAAATATAAGTGCCCGACCAAGTCGAGGTGCACGTGATTGAAGCGAGATGAGGGCAAATTAAAAATTTTAAGGGTGCTGATGGTGTGTCTAACAATTTTCGATCTTTGGCCCTCCAAGTACTATACTATAGTACATGGACAAATTTAAGGCAGTGCGCAATGCCTAGTTTGTGCAATTCTAGGATTTTTTTTTGAAGTGAAAACAAATCGATGTGTACATGGACACAGAGTTTTGAATTCTTTTTTTTCCTTACTTTACTGTGCCGGCTACAAGAAGGGTCCCCTGAGGTTTCAGGTTCCCCAAAGGGGAAAGCCCAGCCCATTTTCGAACCCGACCGAACTACCAGTGTTCAGCGGCTTTTACCGCTTGCCCACTGGTGGGCTTGTGCGATTCTTTGACTTCTTATTTTGGTTTTGTATAGCGGCCATTTTGAAATTGTGCCTTCCTGACGCCGATCTTGGTGTCAAAAAAGAATCGCCAAAATACAA